TTAGACTTTTTACTGCATGCTCGCAATGCTGGCAAAATCAGTGGGACAGTTCAAGTTGACCGGATTGGTATACTTAGATAGCGGCACAAAGAAGTCCGTAGATGCTACATCAAAAATGATTGCTGATCTATTTTCAAGTATTCTTTCGAATTCTAGGTGGCTTCCCATTGCCGAAATGTCAGATACGCTCAATAAGACACTTACGAGGGTAAGGCGCCACAGACATTCACCTTATATCGTTTATTAGTTTACCTTATATCGTTTTGTTTCAAAATTTCTTTTTATCTGAAACTGCGAAACTAACCATAGGCCTTGAGGATTTCAGTATTCGCCTCTGGGAATCCCGCTTCAGGATGAGCAGGCGCACTATCCATTCGGATGTCGTGTAGAAACGGGATCTGTTATAGAAAAACGAAGGATTCCCAAACGAAGAAAGAAGAAAAGGGGAAGGAAGAAACAAAAGCCAAAATTTGTGATTGTGACAAAATCTGTTCCCGTGTTCAGAGCTTACTGTCTAGCTATAACCAAGAATTTCATGGAACTCTTTGCTCAGTTTGTGGATTCCGTCAACGGGGATCTGAAAGAAATAACAGATGCAGTTCAGAAAATTAAGAGTAAGATGGAGTGAACTGCTCAGAAAAAGGTCTTTTTGAATTGCAGAAAGTTTTTGAGCTTCTCTAAAAATTCTTTCCCTCAAACTTTCGCATCTACAACGTAGATGCAATTCTATCATTAGGTTGTTGCAAAACATAACTTTTCAAAACCCTTTTGCCAGACAAGTTTTTTTCCACAAAATTACACCTTTGAAAAACACATGAGCTCTTATCATGCTCTGTCTAACGATGGCTAGAAAACTTTCAACTTTATGTTTAAGTCAGAGCTGTAGATAACCTCATCCAAAATCAGAATTCCACTGCATTTACTTTTCCAGCCAGAATTGAAGCGCAAATGAAGCCGCTTTTTCAAAATTACTGAATTCCTTTCAAAGAAGGCAATCGTTAAATTTTTCCTCATTTCTGTAAGCGTAGAGGAAGGCATCCTGTTGACAGATTTTGCTTGCAAATTTTCTTTGTTCAAACCCTATTATTGTTGTCCCACTGACTTGCAGCTACAATGAAAGCAGCTTATCAGTTTTACTGACAAACTTTGAAGGGACCTATGATTTGCCAAAGCTGAGATATTTGAAAAAAAAAGCTTTCTGTTATTCAATCCATATCTATCTGCCC